GTACACAGTTTTTGCTGACGTCATTTTAATTAACAAAAAACATGTGTTAAAAAACCGCACACTTTTGTGAACAAAATAAACTTTGATTGACATCAGTATCTCTACTGGTATTCAAATAGCGATCAATTTAAAACTCTAGCTATATATGCCCAACCCGATATATGTTCATATTATTTTACCAATTTTTCATTAATGAAATGCTCAAATTTAAAAACTATTGCAAATATAAATATGCAGTTAATAAAAAACATTTTGATAAAGTTTACAATAGAACTGTAAATGTATCAAAACAAGTATATTTTAATAGCCTAAATAAACAATGTAATTTTATTTGGTTAAAAGCGTTAGTAAAATTCTTTTTAAATACTATGTATGCGATCAATTTTCCAATTGCCAAATTTCCCACATCCAAAATACTTATAGTATACAGTGAATAAAAGCACATTGTATTGCTGGCTCATCATTGGTCAATGCTTTGTTTATTTTGAATATGGAAAAGAAAAAAGTGGGAAAGTTGATCGCGTCAAATTAATATAAATATAACTTTATTTGTTATAATTTTATTCTGTTTTAAACAAAAAATTTTAATATTTATATTTTTACTGCAATAAATTATTTGATTATATTAAACAATTATTTAATTTATAGAGTGATCAGAGAAATCAATAGTAAATTGTGATCTGATTTTACAATAATTTAAATACTAATTGTAAACAATTTGCATATGAATATAAACTGTGTTTATTTATCTACAAGATTGTGTCAAAACAAAATATATTTTTAATATTTTAAATATTGTAACAATAGTATAATAATCAAATAAGTATATAAAGAATTATGAAATTGAACATATATTTAATTGTAAAATATACAAATTATTTATACTTTTAATGTTGTAAAAACTCTATATTCTATTTGGATTAAATTGTAATAAACAATACATTTATTGCAATTGTTATTTATTTTATTAAAACATATTTCATTTAAAACAACATATTTTTATAAAACAGCAAAACCTTACATAAAAATAGTTATCCAACAAATTTTACTTGGTGCGTTTAAATATGCGCACCGCCTGATTACGTGGTCGCACTTCACCAGCCGTCTCCAAAAACCTATGGTAATACTTATTTTCACCCGTAGCCGCCGAGCCGGTATAGATATACTTACTCCAGACACCCGGGGTCAATTGTACTGGAGTCTCGCTATCAACATTTATTGCATTTTGTACTTGTGACAATCTAGGTGCGTTTTCAGCTTGTGCACCTTTGCCAAACGCTAGGCTACCGTTGCCTTCGGCCCGGAAAAACTGACCCGCGTATGTGGCCGTTACATCTGACCACGTGTATGCGGGCCATAGTGTTTTAGGCTCAGCCTGGTCGGGCATTTGTACGTATATAAAACCTACTGGCACTTGTGTGCCTTCCAACTGGCTGACTCTGGCTATAGTTTCATCCAGCACACGGCGATTGTCCCTGATCAAACGCTCAATATGTTCACCGGGTCTCATCACCACACGCTTGCATACAAAAGCATTTTTCTTTGTGCATGGTTGATCGAGCCATTTGCCCAGGTTAGCTATATCGGGCACCATTTCGACACAGTTGGTATCGGCTATGGGACGGCCGGGTATCCAGTTTTCATACTCACCGCTAGTCCTGTCCCTCCAGACCACGTGTTTGTTTGCGAGGCTCGCGTCCAGCCATACACTCTCTACTACTTTGTATTTTGTGAATAGCATCTGGGTTAGAAATTGTTGTTCAGCAGGTGAATTGATTGTGGCCAGTGTTGAGTCGGACTGTGTTTGACAAAATGTGACCACGCTCGCGTAGTCGGCCACATTTGGTGGGATGTATTTATAGCATATGTCATAGTAGTCGTCCCGGAATAGGTCCCAATCATCGCCGCAAACGCCCTCGCTGCTAATGAGCTTGCCTAATTATTTCAATTAATTTTATAATTATTTATATTGCAATATAATTTATTTTACATCCTATTTATTAATTAGTTTCAACGATAATAAACTTACAATTTAATAAAATAATAAATATGCAGATATATTTCAAATACATTTTATAAATTAATAAATGATAATTAATTATTTGATAAATTATTTTGCTAATACTATTTAAGTATTGTACTCATGTTAAATATTTAATTAAGTAATATAAACTTTTATAGTAAAATTTATCATAATAGTCAATCTAACATGATAAATACCAAATGCTGTGCAAACTTATATTCTCATCCGTGTATATAAAGTTGTATTTCAGTTATATGTGTATTAAAATATACATTTATATTGATTAATAACATTAACTGTATATCTATTCATAAATCTTTACAATATTTATTATAATAAAAATGTTTTTATATGCTTAAATGTTTATATGCTTTATTAATGCATTTAAATAATTAATGATTTTGTTAAAAAAAATTATTTTATCATAAATAAATTGTAAAGTATTATAAGAGAGTTAGTGAGAGAGTTACAAACTGCAATCCAAAAATTAGTTTCTATTATCTATACTTATTAATGTAAAATACTGCTTTATAATTGGTGCGACACTGTCTACAAAACTAAAATTGTTATTTTTATTTAAGTATTTATTAAATAAAAAACCATTTATCCATTATTTATTTTATAACAGAAATTGTTTGATACTTGTATCGAATTAGATTACTTTAACTGGTTTAGACTAGAAAGTAACATTATATAAAATAAAATTTAATCATCAACTGATGACTTTCACATCAATAATATTGAACTTTGTTCAATTTAATTAACCAAACAATATTACCTGTATAAATACTATTCAAATAAGATTACTATGATAGAATCAATTTCAAAATAAAATAAACATGTAGATAATATTTATCAGACCAGTTCTGAAGTGTTTTTAAATAGATTAATTTACAAAAATGTAGTACATTTAACACGTAACACATTATCGTATTATTGTAAATGTAATTTGTATTTTAACCCTGGCTATTTATTAGTGCTTACGTTGACCAGTATGTAATATAAGTTTAATTAATATAAATAACCATCATGATTTAATTATTAAAATAAGTTTTCATATCTATTTTATACAAACTACTTATTATAATTGATTTCATATTTTTTTTCAACACTACAAAATAAATATGCACAAATGACAAAATAAACTTTTATTAAATAATTAAATGTAATAATTTAATATTATTTAAACATGTGCAAAATCGTACAAGCAAGACAAATTATTTATTTTTAATTTGCCTACGATTATCAGCGATCATGCGCTGGGTCTTTTGCGCCGACCACAAAACAACCTTCTCGCATACAACCTCATTTTTCTTTGAGCACGGGCCATCTAGCCATTTACCCATATTACCCGGCGCTTTATCAGGCACCATTTCCACGCACTCATTAGCCACGTCAATAGGTCTGCCTTCTACCCAGGCCACGTTATAATTATAGCTGGTGCCATCAGCCCAGGTTACTGCTTTTTTGTTTGCTTTGGCGTCTATCCATACGCCATTAACAATTTCGTGCTTGGTGAATAGTGACTGGGTCAAAAAGTCCTGTTGGGCCTGGGTGTGTACGGTGGGCAGTGTGGCCATGCCATCTGCGTGTGCCGCGCACGCTGCCTGCACAGTGGCGTAGTCAGCTAGACCTAGCTCTTTTAGATATATGTAGCATATATCGTAGTACTCGTCGTGGAATATCTCCCAGGCATCACCTTTGCCGCATATACTGTCGCCATTTATGGATGCCCCTGGTCATAATTTAATTATTAATTTTTAACATGTTGGTTATTTTATTTATTACATGAATTTTTATGTGTTTTTACATTTTAATTAATTTGTTTAAAATAAAAATACAATATAAAAGTACAATACTTTATATCTTAAATTAATGTATACATACATGTTAGGCATGAGACCAGAGCCCACAGATACAGCATGTGCATTTTGAATTTATATATTTTACAATGAATGTCTTAAGTAAAATTTATAAATAAAATTATCAATTCTATTTATACTGGTAGACAATATGAAATTGATTAAAATATAACAAATGTCATGGTTAGGGTTGTGACACTCGGTAAATTACAATTTTACCGTGGTAATTTACGGTAATTTACTTGTAAATTACCACGTTTTCTGAATCTTACATGTAAATTACAACATTCAAACACGTGACTTGTCAAAATATAAAGAACTTTTGATATTAGTCATGTACAAAATGCCAATAATTGAATAATTTAAAAAACTTTAATTTTGAAAATTAATTATTACTAGATTTATAATTAAAATTGATATAAATGAGAGAAAATAATGACTTTATTAATAATAAATAACTTGATAAATTGTTTTTATTTGATATTTTTGTTTTAAAAACTATAAAAATTCAGAACTTAATTGTGATTCTGATAGAAATTCTGTAGATTTAAATTATATTACAAGTGATAACTATCATAATTAGGTATATAATTAATATTCTATAAAGAACTGAACATTGATTCAATTAATTTGTGACAAATTACCAATTTTACCGAATATTACCGTAAATTACCGAATATTACTGGTAATGTAAGATTGAATTGAATTTTACCGGTAAAGTAACAACCCTATGTACAACGAATGGCACCGAAAACATATTAAATGCATAAAATATGTACTGTTTTCTCAATTTTCTGGTAGAGAGAGAGAGAGAGAGAGAGAGGGAAGTTATCAAATGTATTCATACGATAGGGAGAAATAATGTATATATTATATCGAGAAATGTGTAGCGAAAAGGAAATTAGAAACTATCTTAAATAGTTTGCCACCTTTTTCATGGCACTGCCATTTCTACCCCCTTTCCCATCCGATATCAAACGCTTTATAAGGCACTCGTTGTAGGGTTTTTACAAAGGGGGAGAGTTAGAGAGAGAGAGAGAGAGAGAGAGAGAGAGAGAGAATGGACACAATAGGCACTCACTTTTCTCACTAAAGATCACTTGAATTGGTCTCATGAAGATGTGGTGTCAAAGACATGCCATTCATGGCCTACAACTCAAACCAAATGGCTTTCTATGGCTAATAGTGAGTGAACCGCAGGATATAGTGAACCACTAATTTGCACATTATTTAAGTGCTGTTTCACTCGTATATACCAGTGGTGTGTCTCCAGACATGTTGTATAAAAATGCATTATATGTGTTATAAATATGAAAAATATATAACTAATTGTCATTTAAATGTATAAAGCGGTCGATTAAATGCAATGAATTTGTATGGAAAGGGAGGGAATGACATGAGAGAGGGTAAGAGTGAGGGTAAGAGTGAGTGAGTGTTAGGGTCTATGAGATTGCAAATCCTGCTGTGAGACAAACACACATACAGTGCAAAAGTATACAAAAGTTTTAGTACAGTATATCTTTTTAATAACAATTTTCTCGTTTATTATTGTCATTGGGATATGAATTGCAATTACGGGCCAAGAATTTAATCCCCAAATAATTCTCATGAATAGCACTTTCTTTCTATCACTTGCTATATATGATGTCTTTGTAATCTCTCTCTCTCTCTCTCTCTCTCATGTCATTCCCTCCCTTTCCATACAAATTCATTGCATTTAATCGACCGCTTTATACATTTAAATGACAATTA